TTCCCCCTCTCTGGTCTGTCCCCCACTGCAGTTTGGAGGCTCTGCCCTGTCTGGGATGCTGGGGGTCCCACTTAGGGATGCTGGGAGTGTTGGGGGTCCCAAGGGTCCCTTCTCCTCTGACTCTCGCCTTCAGGGTGCCACATTCCCAGACATTCCCCTTCTCCAAGTTTTCCACTCTGTTGTCCCAGGGATCCCCACTGTCCAGGCTTCCCCTTCTCCACACCCCCCGTTTCAGGCTCCCGGGGGTCTCGGGGCTCCTCCCTCTCTGTGCTCCCCCCTCCAGGCTGCCGGGGGTCCCCCAGCTCTGACATCACCCTGCTCCGCCCTCCATACTCGGAAGCTCCTGGGCTCCACACCTACCCCTGGCACTCCCGGGGGGCCCCAAACCCACTGTATCCCCCCCGCTGGCACCGGGCTGACAATGGAGCCGGCGGGGCCTGACCCAGCAACACCAACCCCCACCGCGGGGGGGGACAAAAATCCCCCCACCCACCGCCAAGGTTCTGCCCCCAACCCAGCCCAGCACCCCCAAAAAACACCTCCCACCCATCGCCACGAGCCCCAGCCGGCCCTTGTGCAGGGCTGTGCCCAAGGCAACCCAAACAGCCCCACAGGTGGGGGGACACCAAAAACTGCCCCAGGGCAATGAGAGCAGGGAGCAGATCGGGCCCCCTGACACGTGGGTAGGCTCTGGGTTCAGCCTGACCAGGGGCAATTTGGCAACAACAGCACGGCCCTGAACGCTGGCTCGGTACAGGGGGCCCGAGTTCCACCCTCTCCAGGCTCTCGGGGCTCTCACAGCTCCCTCCTCTCTCCAGCCTCCCTCGCTCTTCAAAGATCAAGGCATGGGGACACGGAGGAACCCCCATGGCAACCCCGCTCCCGGAATCCACCCTCCGCTTAGCCCCCCTCTCCCACCCTTTTCTCCGGATGTTTCCCAGTGTGGATTTGCTGGTGTTGGATGAGGTGGGAACTCTGCCTGAAGCTCTTTCCACATTCCCCACACATGTAGGGCCGTTCTCCAGTGTGGATGCGCTTGTGTTTGATCAGGTTGGAGCTGTCTCTGAAGCTCTTCCCACATTCCTTACATGTGTAGGGTCGTTCCCCAGTGTGAGTGTGCTGGTGCTTGAGGAGGTTGGTGCTCATCCTGAAGCTCTTCCCACATTCCNTACATGCCTCAGTACTGACTGACTGCCACTTTTTATTGGTGTATGCCTCCTAATGTCAGGATAGGAAAGATGGTCTTTTCTTTAGCTGCACTGATAGTGAGTACATAAGCTTCAATTTGTTCATGTTGAGGATTGTAAGTGAAGTTCCCTAACTGCCACCACGCCTGGTAATTTTTCTCAAACTGTGTAGTAGAACTGTTTCTAGCTATTATTTCTCTTACCTCCTGTGGTAATATTCCTGAAGTTCCTTCTCTTAATATTCCTGCAGCTACAGATTGCACCCACTGTTGAGTTTGGAGACATTGTATTGCAAGTGCAAACCTTTTATGGATGACACCAGCATAGTCAATAATCTTGGTGAAATCTTTTGCAGTGTGGTTAGCTACAAATGTTAACAATTTAACTGCCAATGATTGTGTTTCTGCCAAAGTGAGCAAAGATGATCTTAAAGGGACTTTGAGTTTTCCTAAATCTGATGTGACAGCACTCAATTTATTCACCAATACTTCTTGATCTATGGTGTTTAATACTCCTAATCCTGTACCAAACTATCCAGTTACATCTCTCCGAATCCTGGTATGAGGGGATCTGGCCTCTACCCATGCATGCCAGCCTTTGAGGGTCAGTTGTATATAGGGTTGACAATCCTTTTGTATACTTGATATGTTTACTTGAAGGTGTATTTGAACCCTTTTCAGTGAATATGTGGGATCTAACAACACTTTCTGCTCATTTGAGTGTCTAATCATGTAAGGTCCAGCATAAGTTAAATTGTGGACACTCTCACAGGCTAAAGAAGTTGTAAAACTGGTGGTGGTCTTAGTTAATGGGGTGGTAGGAGATTTGCTGGTTGGAAGTCTCCTGGTTATATTTCCTTCCCTGAATGTCCACTGACACATCACAGAAACTGATTTATCTAGAGTGAAGGTGTGCCAACACTGATCGGCCACTAATTACATTTCACCGTAACGTTAATTTTGGGTGACCATCTAATCTGTGCCTATTAAAACACTTGCATCGTATGGGGTACCAGGATTTTACCAATTATTCAGTACTCTTGTTCCTTGGAGGACTATAACAGATG